CTTAACTGAACTTCCAGCAGTAAGCTCAGCAGGCCCAGCCTGGCCCTCGCCTCTCTCTGACTCATCCATTGGGTTTCTCTTGCTCTTTGGTGGAAGCGCCACCACACTTTCTTCCCACCCCATCTGCCTCACTGATTATTTTCAGCTTGGCTTGCAGAGGCTCAACGCTGCAATTACACCCCAACCTCAATGGCTCCTTCTGAAAATAACATTTGGGTCGAAGAAAACCTCAGTCTGGTGGGCTGGATTTTATACTAAACAGTTAAAGAGTGGGTGCGGGCATGGAGTGGGGGGGGGGCAAGGGAGTGGCACAATGGTACAATTAAGTGAAGAATCTGGGAGAAGGGGAAGGAAAAGGAAGTGAAGAGAGGGAAAGAGTGGTGGTGGTAAGGACTGTTGGCAGAAAGAAAATATATCTACCGGGCAGGGGTCAGCCATCTTGTAGAAGTCTTAGGCCAAGTTTTCATTTCTGTCTCTAATTGAAGGTTTTGTTTGCTGAAATACCTTCCCCTCCAATACCCCTCCCCCCACCGCGCCCCCCCCAATCACTGAGGCCTGGGAAATTCATGTAAGCCTTGCACCAGAAGAATTAGTCTATGGGCATACCAATCTTTATCCAAGCTAGTGACCAGATTTTCCGACCCCAAAATAGGAGCCACATGGTTTGACATAGGATTTTTATTCTCTTTCCAGGTGAGAATGGCAATCTGGGAAATGTAGTTTAGCGATGCTGTTCGGTGGAATTTCTAAGTGGTTCCGCGATCAATGGCAGGGAGTAGAAAGAACCTTCAAAGTAGGGATTCTCGTGGAAATCAGAGAATTATGGGTTCCTTTAGTTCAAAGAAGAGAAGGAAACACTAGAAATGAGAAACTTTGTCTCACCCGGGGGAGGGGAAAGCAGAGCTGTTGAGGGTAAGGAGGCAAATACTTGGAAGTAGCTTTTGGGTTCCAAGGAGGCAGAGATTAAAAGGCCGTATGAGATGAGACTTTGGAAAATAGGCAGGAAGGGGTTCCACACATTAGTTAAGAGCTCAGTTCTGGAGTCGGCCAGACTTGGGTTCAAACGTGGACTGACTGAACACCTGGGTGATCTCTCGCAGTAACTTAGCCTCTTTGGATAGGCCAGCAGTAGAGGCTGTAGAGTGAGGCTAATAGAGCTTGTATCCTGACTCAGTGATCTTAACCTCTTTGTGCCCCACATTTCTGCTCTGTAAAATGTGAAGAACATCCACCTTCTAAGGTGTCGTAAGGGCTTAGAATAGTTAAAGTGCTTAGAACAGTGCTTGGGACACTGGCAATCATGCAACATATGTTAGCTATTATTATTATTACCTCTGGAGTTTTTCTCCAAATGTAACAGACAAGAAACTTTTAGCTAACATATACATTTTTTTTATTTGGACAGTTATGAATTTATATTCAAGTGTATTAAAATATGTGACTAGCACATCTAAGCTGTGGTTTCACTAATGTTAGTGCTTAGGGCAAGACTATAGAACAAGTGAATAGATTTAAAGTTAACTTAAAGAATAAGGAAGGTTAATAAAATAAAAGTGAATTGAAAATATATATAGTATAGGTGAAATGTGGCTATGGAAGAAAATCATGCAGGCAATACCTGAATGGCTGAAATTTTTGAAAAATAATCTATGATGCCATGTTTCCTTCTGCTAATAAAACCTTCTAAGGCACATGGGTGGAGAAAGCAGGCAGGGAAAGAAAGTACGGATCAAGTCCCTGTCAAAACTTTGTTTCTTTCTCCCTCTAACCGCTGTTCTTCCCTTTTTGAGAAATCGGCAGGAAGGCCCAGGCAAGCGAGGCCTGACGCCCTAATGAACTTTTGAGGATTGGGGGCACTCAGCACTGTGAATTGGGGGAGCTCAGGAAGTGAGGCTGAATTCAAAGGCCCAGCTCTGGAAACCCAAAGCCAACTCCCCAACTTCGCTCTCCCGTAGCGTTTATGGCGATTCAGCCCTCTCTGATTTTTTTGGAGCACTGGGTCAATCAGTCAGCCAATGCCTCGGGAGAAGTTTAATTAAGCTCAGATCGCCTGCGCAAACTGCCAAGGGTCTGCCTACCCGCCCCGCCCCCAGCACACTGGTGCAAAGCGGTTTCGCGCCCGGCCGGCAGGCCCGCAGCCTGCGCATGCGCGTCGGCAGGGCGCCCAGCGCCTCGCGGCAGGCTCGGCTCCCAGAACGGCGTTGCAAACTGTTGCATCAGACAGCAAGCAATCGGCCGGGCCGCCAGGGTTTCTAGGAAGATAGGAAGGGTTTGAGAGATCCTCTGTGGTCGCTTGGGAGCGCTGGCCGTCACTCACGCTATTTACACGCTGGTAACACAATCCCCTGAAATCTCAAACTTGTGCTTGTCCGGGAAGGGCCTTAGCCACAGGTGAAATTCGCTGAACTCTATTGCTCCTGCCCCACCCCACGGCCTCAGGCTGGACCAACTGAACTGAGCTCAGTTGGCTTTATTAATGAAGGAATGAGCTGGGTTTGATTTCTCTTCCCAAGTACAAGAATGCCTCTGAGGAATTTCTCACTCTGTGAAAGTGCAAAACTAATTTCCCCAGACAAGCGCTGTTGCTGGTTCCCAAAAGGGCTTGGAAAGATCCCAGCAGGAATGTTCAGTGGTTTCCAAATCTCTTCACCCCAGCAGCTGGACACGCAGACACTGACCACCAAGAACTTCTTGGTGGGTTGACACACATCTTCCACAGATAGGCCTGCCTTTTGGCATATCGTAAGTCCCCATGTCATGGAGACTTTGGACATGAGCCAGGAATGCACAACCACAAGCTCATGCAGACACCACACGTATAATGGAGTTTTCTAGATTCCAATGGTTCTGCAACTCAGGTAAGGAAAAGTTGTCCTTCTTACTCCCGGTCATTCTTTTTGTCTCTGGGCCATTGCCCTCCTCAAGAGGAGAGAAAATATCCTGGATCCAGAAGGGATGAGACAGTCTCGGGTGGTGGGCTATTTAAGAAGAATAAGAGTACTGATTTGGAATCGACTTTCTAAAGGGATTTACAGGGACATAATCTGAATCTTATGGTTCAGTTCTAGCTTTCTTTCTTTCTTTCTTTCTTTCTTTCTTTCTTTCTTTCTTTCTCTCTTTCTTCTTTTTTCCTTTATTTATTTATTTTTGGAATGGGTCAAGACCAACATCATTCAGTATTAACAGATTTCCAAAAAGACAAAAACTGGCAATTTACCTTAAGCATTCTGTCTTTTCTAGGGTGTCGATGGTAAAAATCTATTTCATCTGAACAATTGTGAAAGCTAAAACAGGCCTAGGGTTCTTCCTTTTCTCCATTATTATGAATCACTCAATCCCAAGATTCCCTTTTAAAATGACCTGAAAAACTGGTAAGCATGATCCGACACATCCCTGTGTCAGACAGTCACTGTTTGTTTAAACCAACATTTTTCTTTGAACAGCGGGGTATTATGGCACTATGGGATTTTTCATTGTAATAGATGCTTCATCAATATGGCCCAAGCTACATCGGTCATCAACAGTGATCTTATATACCGAAGGAGTGACAATTAGAAAAGGATGGAAAGGAATGTGGGCACGTGCTGGAGGTGGAGGATTTCTGGGCCCTGCTTCGGAGGGTATATTAGGGCCCAGACCTCTGCCACATGGTTGTCACCAAGGTAGTATATGGGGGTCAGAGGGTGTGGTCTCAGGGAGCTGCTAGGAGCTGGTAGAAGGTCAGATATGTCTGAACAATAGCTCTCACCTGGATAAACTAGTCATTTACTATTGTGGGTTCTCTCCCGGCATGAAATTTGGAGCCATGAGGTCAGGAGCCAGGTGGGAACAGGAGAAAGTGAGCTCATAAACTCATGGTTTATGAGTTCCCTGCTGTACCTCCAGCACATAAAGAGAGTAGGCTCTCAGTGCATGTTGGTAGAATAAATACACTGAATGAAAGAGGGAAGTAGCAGAGAGAAAAAAGATCAAAGAAGTCCAAGGATATTGTAAGAGGCAGCCTGAGATGCCCAGGGCTCTCGTGTTGGGTAAGAGGGGACTCCCTCTAGTTCAAAGGGACAGGGCAAGGGATTGAGAACTGTTAAGTGACAAGTCTCATGAGGTTCCTTCTGCTTTAGTGTCCCTGTTTGGAAAAGCCTCCAGCTGGTGATTCCAGAGTGTGCAGTCATTCTGTTTAACTAAGCCTAGTGACATCATCAACGACTGCCTCACCTTGACTGTGTTCCCAGAGCAAACTTCTGGAAAAGTGAGGGGTCTGAGGGAGGGTGTGTGACTGAGATCCAGAGGACAGGAAAATCCCCCAGAAGCCACACTTTAAAACTATAAGCACTGTGGTGGCCCAGATGGTTAGATGATGCAGACAGAGACTCAAAGTGTGATGTGTTTTCCATATTTATTGGACACTCACAGATTCTAGACACTATACGGAGCCCAAACCCAGACAAAGCTCCTGTTCTAAGAGCTTATGATCTAAATTCCTTGTGGAAAGTCTGTCTTTGAAATGTTTAGGCACCTCATTTAATCCGCATTTCCACTTCAAGTCATGTACCTCCTTCCTGAGAAACCCACCACATTTGAAGTTTGTAGCTGGCCTGCCTTCTGTTTTTGCTGTTTACGTGCCAATTTAAAGGGTGGAGAGAGCCACATTAGTTTTAAAATAAAACACAAATAGCAGAATGAGGCTTGGGTAAAGTAAAAACCACAGAAGGGATTTTTTTCCCCCCTCTCATACTTTTCAGATTTTCCTAGAACCACCTTTATTTCCTCAGAGCCCAGACATAGAAAGTGAGTGGGCCTTACCGGATGCTATTCCAAGAGGCACGAAAGCCTCATGCTTATTCTCTCAATGTACCTTTAGGTTTTGCTTTTTTTTTTTTTAGACAATTGAGTCCTAATTGGGGGTTCAGAAAGCTATGGAAGCCCCTAATTCACATGTGGTATTTATTTCTAAGCACCCTTAGAGTAGACTTTGGTTTGTTTTTGCATGGTTTTTATCTTACCTCTTCTGTTCAGTTGTATCAGCTTGTACGTACTGGGTGATGGGAACATGGCTTTAAAGTCAGTTTCTCCTGGTGGATTCCCAGCATTGCCGCTTACCAGCCTTGACCTCATCTGTCAAATGAGAATAATGGTGCACACCTCTCATGGCTGCAGCAACAATTAAGGAGTCAAGACACAGAAAGGGCTCACACAAAACAAGCACTTAATACACTGTAGCTATTATGAAAATAGATTCTTTCATCTATCAGCTCCTTCCTTATCCACTCCTATTTTGGAGAAAATTATCTATTCCAAGTGGATGATTTATCCCCATTTTACATCACCAAAGGGCCCGTAAAGAGCGAGAAGGCTGAGTTTGACTTGCAAGCACATGGGCTTTTTAATGGGATGGGATCAGTGTTTTTGCCGCTCAGCAAGAGGCGATTAAATCAGCAGTACAGGGCCTGGGGAAGCCTCCAAAGCCGATGGTGGGGTGGGAGGAGCACAGAAGGTGGGGAAGAGTGGTCAGGAAAGCAGGCCTAGAGCTGAGGTGAGGGGCTAGAGGGGCGCCAGCCACCGGGATAAACCGCTTCGGGGTTCTGATTCTGAGTCTGCAGGTGGAGGCCCGTCTGCCCAGGGGTCTGGTGACCGTGGGACCCGAGGCGCGTGCGGCAGCGCCCTCTGCTGGCCGCGCGGGGCACAGCTTCAGCCCCGCGCCGGCGCCACCGCTCTGCAGGTGGGACCCGGGTTCCCTCCCGCCTCCTCCTCCCCTGCTCGATTCCATCAGAGGACCGCGCTGCCCGGCCCCCGACCGGATTCCGGGAGACGCGTTTCTATCTGACGCCTGCGGGCTGAGCAGAGACGATGCTCGGAAACATTCGATTCACCTGGGGATCGGAGGCTGCGGGAACCCACCCAAACCCCGCAGAGGCTGCGCCTCTTGGGAACCGGGGCCAAAGCCTGATGGGCTGTCGGAGGCAGTTTGGAAGTGGCATCGCCTATGGCCAAGACCTCGGGTTCTGCGGACAGAGAGGAGCCCTGGGTTCGCTTTCTGCCTCATCCATTTTCCAGCTAGGTGACCTTGGGCAAGGTACTTAAATTTATCATGTGCCTTAGTTTTCTCATCTTTAAGATGCAGAGAATCAACCCGACCTTAGTGGGTCGACAGGAGAAGTACATGGGATCAGACAGCCTGGGTTGGAATTTTGGCACCGACATCAGCTAGCTGTGTGCCTGGGGCAAGTTGCTTAACCTCTCTGTGCCCCGGTTTCCTACAAAATAGGGATGATAACGGTACTTACCTCCGAAGGTTGTTGCCTGCAAAGCGCTTAACACAGTGCCTGGCACAGAGTAAGCGGTCAACAAATGGTGGCTATTATGGTTGTTGTCCTTATTATTGTTCTTAAGACCGCTGAGCACACGAGCAGAACTCTAGCTGGCGGCTATTATTAGTCTCTTTCTTGGGTCCGGCTATTTCTTTCCGGGCATTGTTAAAAATCTTTTACCATGTCCTTATCAGTGGCCGAAGGACAGCCGGCCTTCCCGAGTTTGGAAAATCTAGGTTCCCCTGGAGGAGGGCCAAGGACGCGGCTGCGGGCTGCAAGGACCGGGACCTCCCCGGAGGACGCCCTCGCCACGCCGCCTCCGCCCGTGCCTCCATGAGCGCGCGTCAGAGCCGCAGTGACGTCGCCAGGTCCGCGTGAGGTGGGGAGGCGCGGCCTGGACACGCGGGGAGCCTGGGGTGGTGAGGATGGCTGGGTTGGCCCGGACGCGTCGGTGCCCTGCTGTCCCCGGCGACTGCAGTCGAGGCAAACCGAGGAGCTGCGGGAAGGCCTCTGCCTGGGCTGGGTCTGCAGTGCCTGCCAGAGCTGGGCAGACTCGGGCTCCGCCTGCAGCCCCAAGGGGAGGCGGGAGATGCCAACATGTGCTCCCGGGCCCTGGGCTCCCCAGCCGGACGCGGAGCGGACCTCCCGGCGGTCGCTCAGCGTCTGCGTGGTCCTTCCCCTCCTGTTTTTCAGCGACCCGCTCCGCTCCTTCCTTGGCTCTCCTTTTGGACCAACTCATTTGCTGTGAGTGGTTAATAAGCACCCACAGGAGGCGCCTCCCGCTCCCAGCTTTCCGTCTGCAGCCCCTGGCGCGCCCATCCCATTGCTTGCCGGACAGTTCCACCTGACTTGCACTGCATCAACCTCCAACTCGCCGTCTTGCCCCTATTATTGTCCATCTTAGTGATGGCGCTACGACCCCTCCCGTCATCCTAGATGCGTTGCCTTCCCTCCTAATTGCCTTTCCTTCTAAATACCTCTCCAGGCACTCTCCATCCTTCATCCTAATTCCCAGCGGCCTGGTTTAGGCTATTAACATTCCCCTCAAAGATCTCCTTGTCTGCTACACTCCTGCCTCCTTCAAATCCATCCTCCACATGCTGCTTGAGCAAGCCACCAACAACCCATGTCTGGCCATGCCTCTCTTGGCTTAAGGCTGCCTCCCCTCCTCTTGTATTTTCTATCTAACATCTTTCCAGTGTGGGAGGACCCTACTGGGACCACAGCATTGAAGGTCGTCAGTGTCTTTATTGTTGTTGGGCCCTATCCAGGGAATTTGCATCTCACCCCCCTCCTCCCCTAATTGGCTTCCTCTTACTCATTCTCCAACACTCAAGAGGTGAGTCACCTCTTTAAGAATGCCTTCCCTGTTCCACTCTTTGGCTGAGTGAAGTGTCTCTAGGCCCCCAAAGCTTTCCATCCCTGTTACTCTAATCATGTTGGGGATAAAGACATGACCCTTCAAGATGGCCTGTGAGGCACTGTATGGTCTGTGCACCATCCCCCAATCCCTACCTCCAGCCCCTTGCTCCCTCTGCTCTGACCATGGGGTGGGGGGTGGGGGGGGCGTGTCTTAGCTCCTAGTCTTCTGGTTTATTCACCCTCCCACCCTGGGGTCTTTGCACAGCCTGTTTCCTCTGCCTGGTACACCTTTCTGCCCTTCCTCACCTACTCAATTTTTGGCTCTCATCCTAAGTAAGCATCATTTCCTCAGAGACACCTTCCCTGACCCCTCCCGCATCCACCCCCAATTCAGTCAAATCCTCTTTTTATAGATCAAAGCATGTAAAAAACTACAGAGAATAATATCATTCATACTTCTTTATTCTCTGCCCCTCCCCTACCACCCCTTCCCTTTGCCAAAGCTTAACATTTGCTATATTTTCTTCAAAAAAAAAATTTTTTTTTAAAGTACTGATCTAGGTGGAGCCCTCGGAACCCATTTCTGTCCTTCCCCTAAGGCAGGGGTCGGCAAACTTTTGAGATGGAAGAGCCGCCCGGGGTCGGCAAACTGCGGCTTGCGAGAGGTTCTTTGGGTATGTACATGTGGCTCTGAAGTAAAATTGAAAATGAAACTAAAACTATCATAGTTTCATTTATAATATTACTTTAAATTTTCCGTATTTGTAAAAATATATTTATGGCTCTCGAATAATTTTTAAATTGTTGTGAGGGGCAGGATTGGCTCTTCAAGGGGTCGGCAAACTTTTGAGATGGAACGTACCTAAAGAGCCGCATGTGGCTCGCGAGCTGCAGTTTGCCGACCCCTGCCCTAAGGTAACCACTGTCCTGCATTTGGGGTTTATCATTCCTATGCATAGCATACTTTGTATTTTTACTACTTATATTTGTGCCTATAATACACTTTTTAGAATTGTTTGTAAACTTTGAAGGCATGGCATTACACTGAGTATATCGTTATGCAACTTGCTTTTTTCACTCAGCATTATGATTTTGAAATGTATTCACATTTATGGATTTGGTTCTAGATCATACATTCTCACTGCTGATGAGGATCCCATTGTATGAGTTCACCACACTGTATTTACCCATCTCCTTCTGGAAGACATTCAGTTTATTTTCAAAAACTTTTTGTTGTTAGAAACAATTAATATTTTTTATGTCCTCCCCCTGCCTCTCCCCATGTGTGAAAATGAGCCATTTGGATAGATACTTGGGTGTGGAATTGCTGGGCTCAGGTCGTATAAATTGGCAGCTTCACTCAGCATGGCTGAAAGGTTTTTCAAAATGGTTGAACCAACGTACTCTTTGATAGCAATATGTAAGAATTCCCATGCTTGGCAACCTCAACAATAATTGGTAATGTCAGAATTTTAAGTTTTTGCCAAGCTGATGGGTGCGAAATGGTATTTCAGTGTTTTAATTTGCAATTCCCTGTTTACAAGAGAGACTGAGTGTACTTTCATTTGCTTATTGGCCATTTGCTTTCTGTGTTTTTTAAATTGCCCATTGGTTTGACAGTGCTTCTATTGGATGATCTCTTATTATGTGTAGGAGTTCTTTATATATTCTGGATACTAATCCTTTGTCAGGATGTAGCCTACCAAGTGTCTTTTACTCCACCCAATTGCAATTTTAAATCTATGTGATTATTTGATTAATGTCTGACTTTCCCACTAGACTAAAAGCTCCATTAGAAGAGGGACCATCCTCTGCAACTAATACAGTGTCTGACACATACCAGGAACTCAATAAATACTTCTGGACTGAATTGTATTGACATTATTTGTCTTTTTATATGCTTGCTTCCTCAGCTCTAACCTTCAGTGGCCCACAGGTCATTGAGAGCAGGGACCTGGAGCTATTTTATTCACTTTTGTACCTATCAGAACACAACACCTCTGGCACAGAGTATCAGTATACATCTAATCACTTTTGCTTAATTAATTTCCTTTGAGTTTTTTCTTTCTTCCCTTTCTCCTCAACCCACCTTTATCTCTAAGCCCAGTTATATTATCTATAGAATGAATGACTAATAAAAACCTCCTTGGCTATTTGGGAGACTCACACAATGTAATATATGCACTTGAGTAGAGCAGTGCTTAGCACACAGTTGGTACTCAATAAGTGGTGACTTTCGTTATTCCCACAACAATAATTTTTGGTGACTAAAGATATATTCTGTTTAATTTTAACAGACAGAGTTCTTTCCGAGAGAGAATATAAGTGAACTTCCTGAAGATCTGGTAAGCGGGTTTTTTTTTTTTCTTTTCTTTTATTGGCATTTGACCTACTACTACATAAGGCTCAGTTCCCACATGATCTCTGAAAAGCATCAAATGTCATTCTTCTTCTTTTCTTTTATATATTCCAGACATATCAAAGGCACATGAACCATACATAGAATTCAAACCTTTAAGTGGAAACATATAAAGGCCAATTCCACGTCTTCAGTCAGAAGTCAGAGAGCAGAAAGGAGGTCTGTCGGTGATACCAGAGGTGGGAGCTAGTGGCTGCAGCCAGGGACAAAAGCAGAATTCTAACATCTGCTCCCTACATCTGCCATTGATTGTGTTGACCTTTGATCTATTTATAAAATGAAGATAATCATTCTTGCTTTTTCTCGAGGTTGAACTTCGTTAATTACTCATTTTTAAATGCTTTGAGATCTTCAACATGAAAGGCAGCTTGGCCTTATTTAAACAGCTCTCCCAATAGGTAGATGGCCCAGCAACATCTGTCAATACAACACAGGAATCTGATCTCCATTTTACCAGAAAGTGAGGCCCAGGAAGATGGATGTGTTCACCCGGAGTTGTAAGCTGCTGACAGACAGGGAGAACCCCCTTCATCTCTGACTTCAAGCTTGCAGGAATGAGAAATCTCAGGGCAGCCTTGTTTCATCAAGATGTAACACTACACAGAGGTTCCTCGTCTCTAGGGTTTCATCTCTGCCTGAGGAAAGCATGTGGCTGCACTGTGCCCGCTGCAACGTGAGCCCACCAGAGAGAACAGCTAGAGCCACAGGGGCCGCTGGCAGCGGCCTCTCCCCGGAAGACCCAAAAGAAACTTTGCTGGGACATGTAATAGGAGAAGGTGGGCTGAACTAGAAAGCAGCATCTGCAGGGCTCCTCTGGAGGCTCACCTTTTCAACCCAGAGATCTGCGAAAGACGGAATGGGATGGAGAGGGCTGAGATCTCTGTGTGACAGGTCCGTAATGCAGCATCCGAGGGTTGACTTGACTCCTACTGTGGCTGCTGGAACCAGCAATAACATGTGGTGGTTCGAGGAGCCAGAAGACCAGGCTTTCAAATCTAACGCAAAACGTACCAGCGGTGCAATTTGATCACTAAATCTCTCTGAGCCTCAGCGCCTCGACTGTGGGAGGGGATAATCAGAACACCAACTTGTCAGAGTTGTTAGGCAGATTAAAGGAGAAAAGGCATGTGACAGCGATGCCTCTGATGGAAGAGTTTCAATCAATACTCATTAAAAAGATTAAAACACTAAAAACTCATTTAAGATTGAGCAGAGCTCACCCCCTTTACTTTTTAAAGCATATATCCTCTTCATTCTTAAAGTAATACTTGTACATGATAAAAACAAACAAACAAACAAGCAAGCAAAAAACACAATAGTATGAAAGAGGATACAGTGGAAAATGAGCATGTCTGCCATTGGAACCTAGTGTCACCCATTTCTCCTCCCTGGTGGCAATGAAGATTTCCAGGTTCTGGGGGTATCTTTCCAGAGATATTCCCTGCATGCATAAGGAATTTTGTGGATTTTAAACTGTGACTCCTTTTTATACTGATAACATGATATATACATTCTACTTATTATACTTTGTATATTTTCACTAAACAATGTATCTTGAAATTGTCTATCAGTATATAGAGGTACCTCATTCTTTTTAAGGCTGCATAGTATTACACTGTATTTATTTAGTCCTCTGTGGATAGATATTTAGGTTTGTATTCGTTTTCTATGGGTGCTGTAACAAATTACTATGAATTTAGTGGCTTAAAACAACACATATCTATTACCTTACAGTTCAGAAGTCCGAAATGGGTCTTGATGAACTAAAATCAAGGTGGGGCAGGATTGCGTTCCTTTGGACATTCTAGGGGTGAATCTCTGTCCTGGCCTTTCTAGCTTCTAGAGATCACTTGCATTCCTTGGCTTCGTCCCTTTACTTCATCTTGGAAGCCAGCAACTGTAGGTAGAGTTTTTCTCACACCACATCATTCTGGCTCTCCGGTTCTGCTTCCTTCTTTCACTTTTAAGGACCCTTGTGATTACAATGAGCTGACTGGGATAATCTAGGATAATCTCCCTATTTTAAGATCAGCTGTTTAGTAATCTTAATCCCATCTGCAACTTTAATTCCCCTTGGCCATGCATAGTCACAGGTTCTGGGGAGTAGAATGTGGACTTTTATTTTTTTTGGTGGAGGGGGGGAGGTATTCTGCCTATCACAAGGATATTTCCTGTCTTTTGGTGTTACAAACAGAACTGATAAATGTCCTTGTGTGTCACTTCTTACCTGTGAGTATATATGTAATATAAAGTCTGAGAAGTGGACTGTCGTCTATGTAAAAGGGCATGTGTTTTAATTTTTTTGGAAGGTATTATCAAATTTTGCTCCAAAGGGATTGGACCAATTTATTAGTTCAAGTTAAAAAAATAAATTATATTTTTAGAGCAATTTTAGGTTTACAGAAAAATTGACCAGAAAGTAGAGTTCCCACAGACCTCCCTGCCCTTCCATAGTTTCACATATTATTTACATGTTGTATTCATGTGATATATTTGTTACAATTGATGAGCCAGTGTTGATCTATTATTATGAACTAAAGTACACAGTTTACATTAAGGCTTGCTCTTGGTGATCTATATTCTGTGGGTTTTGACAAATGTATAATAACATGTATCCACCATTGTATATCATACAAAGTAGTTTCACAGCCCTAAAATTCTTCTGTGCTCTACTTATTGATCCCCCTCTCCCTCACCCCGAACCCTAACACAGTCATATTTTTACTGTCTCCATTCAGTTGGAATCATACAGCATATAGCCTTTTCAGATGACCTTCCCTCACTTAGGAATATACATTTAAGATAGCTTCATGTCTTTCTGGGGCTTGATAGCTCATTTCTTTTAATTGCTAAATAATATTCCATTGTATGGATGTACCAGATTATTTATCCATTCACTTATTGAAGGGTATCTTGGTTGCTTCCAAGTTTGGGCAATTATGAATAATGCTTCTCCAAACATCTGTGTGTAGGGTTTTGTGTGGACATAAGTTTTCAACTGTACCAGTTTTTTTCACACCTTTGAACATGCAGTATTTTAGCAAGCTTTTTCATCTTGGCTAATTTGATAGATGAAAAAATGGTAACTAATTGTTGTTTTAATGTACATTTCTTTAATTAAGAGTGAAGTTTGACATCTTTTCATATTTATGTTTTTATTTCTGGAAATGGTCTGTTCATGTTTATTTTTCTATTGGCTTGCTTTTTTCTTAATAATACACGCCACCTTTTTATATAATAAGGAACATTGGAAACATGTTATGTTTTTACAAATGTTTTTGCCTGGTTTATTATTTATCTTTTGAATTTTTCCATGTAGAAATTTAAAATATTTATAATTCAGTTTTATACTGTTTTGTTGGTTATTTTTTTTTCCTTTGGGGGCCTTTGTGTTTGTGTCTTGCCTTTCCCACTCTGAGATTTAAAAATTCTCCTGTCTAATTTTCATGTTTTTATGGTTTTACTTTTTACGCTTAAGCCTTTGATACATCTGGGTATATTTAGGTGAAAGGAGCAAGGTTAAGTTCCAAGGGCTGCTCTGTCCTGCCATTGTTAACACATCAGGTAATGTTGATTCAGCACCATTTTCTGAATAATCCATCTTTCCTTTTATTGGAAATGCCACCTTGATTATATACTGAGCTCTAGTGGGTAATTGTATCTCTTTTGGCCTTTAGAGCGAACTGTTTTTTGCTTACCAAAGTTTTACATTATTTTTTTTTTAGTAACAACTTTATTGAAACATAATTCACCTACTATAAAAATTCACCCCTTTAAATATACAATTCGATATTTTTAAGCATATTCACAGAGTTGCTTAACCATAACTGTTATCTCATTTCACAACATTTTCATCACACCACAAAGAAACCCTGTACCCATTAGCAGTCACCCGACTCCCTTCTGTCCCCGGCTCCTGGCAATCACGAATCTACTTTTGGTTTCTATGGACTTGTCTATTCTGTACATTTCATATACATAGAATTAGATGGCATGCAGCATTTTGTGACTGCCTTCTTTCACTTACCCTAACATTTTCAAGGCTCCTCCATGTTGTAGCATGTATCAGTACTTCATATCTTTTGATAACTCTGTTTAGCATTTTGAAGAACTGCCAGACTATGTTTCAAACTGGCTGCACCATTTTTCATTCTTAACAGCAGTGTATAAGGGTTCCAATTTCTCCACATCCTCACCAACACTTACTAATGTTTGTCTTTTTGCTAATGGCCATCCGCATGGATGGGACGGGGTATCTCATTGTGGTTTTGGTTTGCATTTTCCTAATGACTAGTGACAGCGCATCTTTTCCTGTGCTTATTGGCCGTTTGTGTATCTCGTTTGGATAATTGTTTATTCAAATCCTTTGCCCATTGAAAAGTTAAGTTACATGTCTTTTTAAAATTGAGTTGTAAAAGCTTTTTATATATTCTGGACACTAGCCTCTTATCAGATATGTGATTTGAAAATATTTGATCCCATTCTGTGAGTTGTATTTTCACTTTCTTAATGGTGTCCTTTGAGGCACGAAAGTTTTTCATTTTGATGAAGTCCAGTTTATCTATTTTTTTCCTTTTGTTGTTGGTGATTTTGGTGTCATATCTAAGAAACTACATTATGTTTTAGTGTCTAGTAAGGAGTCTATCCTTACTGTCTTATTTTTTCCTCCAGGCTATTTTTGCATGATTATTTTTCCATGTAGAATCAGCCCATCTTGTTCCAAAAGCAATTGTTTTAGTATCTTTTAAAAATTAGAGTCACTGTAAATATAATGATTTGTAAGAACTGGCATCTTTACGGTAGTACATCTTCCTATTAAAAAACAGGATATGTGTTTACATTTATTCAGACTATCAAGTCCCTTGGTAACATTCTGCAGCATTCTTCTTATAGATTAGGTGCATTTGTAATAGCTGTGTTTCATGTTGTTGCTCATCTGAATGGAATCATTTCTTATATTTTCTAACAGGTTGCTGATTGCATAAGAGAAAGCTACTGACTTTTGTATATCAGTCATATAACTAGTCATCTTATTTTATTGATAATGAGTAATTTGATTGCTAATTCCTGAAAGAGTTATCTAGGCTTACAGTCATATCATCTAAAAATAATGATAATTTTGTTTTCTTCTTTCCATTTTGATACTTCTTTTCTGTTGTATAATTATATAGGCCAGCCCTTCTAGAACAATGTGAAATAATGACAGCATTAGTAGAAATCTTTATTTTGCTCCCGTCTCTACAGAAAATGCTTCTAATGTTTACAGACTTTGCAGACAGGCAGCTTCCAACATCTCTTTCTGAATCTTTCTTTTATTGTCCCTCTGTCAGGTTTTATACATCATTATGCTGGCTTCAGAAAAAGAATTGGGACGTTTTCCTGCTTTCTCTTTGCGCTGGAACAATTTAAATAGCAGGTAGAATTCACCCATGAAACCACCTGGACCTGACACTTTTTTTGGATATAGCTCTTTGAAAAAATTGTCAATTTATCCTACAGTATTTAGTAAGTTTCAGGGTTTTTTTTGAGTGTATTTTTAAAAACTCTTCCGGAATTAGTTGTAATATTTTCTGTTTTCCTACACAATGATCTGTTCTACCCAGGATTTGAAACTTTTGCTTAGGCTGACCAAGGTAAAGCCTTACAATTCTATTAATTAGCTCAGGGTCTGTGGTGATATTCTAACTCTTCTTTCTTTCTTTCTTTCTTTAAGATTTTATTGGGGAATTAGAGGAGGAAACAGCACTCGGGAATCAGGGAAGGGAAACAGACAAGTTGCTATCGTTTTGTTCTTCAGTCTAGTTGTGGAGGACGTTGCTTCACTGGCCCATCCAACTCTCATTTCTTATTTTGTGTATTTGATCTTAAAAAAGCTGGTAGGTTTTCTGCTGTTTGTATGCCTGTTTATATGGCCTGTCTGGGGCTGAGGGTTCCTCCCCATGGTGAGATCCCCCAATACCCAGCCAGTTTGATTTTGTTCGAGATGATGTAAAACTGATATTCCTTCCTGTACATGGCTTTAGCTGTGATGATTGTTTGCCAGGTGCTGATACTGTGCTGAGCGCTTTACTTTCACTTTCTCATTTAATTCTCACTTCATCCCATGAGATAGGTAGTATTACATTATTCCCATTTTACCAACAAGGAAACAGACTCAGAGAGATTAAATAACTCGCCCAAGATCCCACAGCTAGAAGCTGGCAAAGCTGGGGTTCTAACCAGGTCTGTCTGCCTCAGGACCCATTCTAAGTACAGGGCCTCCCACCCCACTCCACCCCGCACCCGCACTTGCTTTTTAGCAACAAAGAAATGGCCTGGTGTCAGCAACAAAGACATGGCCGGCACTGGTGGATCTCTAACTCAGGCCTGTGTTTTCTGGACTTCTGAGGTGCCTCCTAGTGTGACCTCCCCCCATCTCTTAGATATTGTTTGAAGATTTGCTGTTGGCCAGCCACAGTGCTAGATGCTGGGAAAACACTCTCAAACGTAGCGTTTCTAATCCGGTGAGAAAGGAGCTGTGTCAGGAGCTAAATTAAGATTCTCATTTAATTACCAGAAAATCACCACCACCACCACCACCATCAAATCATGGTGCCTTGAGGTACACTTGTAGAGACAACCCAGGACTAGTTGGACTCACATGTCTGACCCTTAAGAGCTGTGTGACCAAGACTTACCACTTCATGCCTCTGGGCCTCTGTGTTCACATCTATAAAATGTGGATAGCATCACACATTTTTCACATGATAGGGATGCATCTTACAGCTGATGGTGTCTCTCAAGGATACCTGGCGGGATTTTTTTTTTTTTAACTTTCTTGTTACATAAATAGTGGTGTATCCTACTGATGGTCTTAGATTTGACGACATATGGTAATAATCATGTGGTTGTTGTGGGAATGAAATGAGATGATATGAAGTGGAAAGCCCGATGAAATTCAGGTAGAACAATGGCAAAAAGCATTGGCCAGGATTATAATCCAGAGTTTGTCATTACCTTGCTGCGTGACTCCAGGCAAGTTACCCCCCATGTGTGGTCCCCACATTTCCTTCTCTGGTCTTCCTTCTCAGCAAAACAAGAGATTTATTTAATTTATCAATTCAGCCAACATGTCCTGTGCACATTTTCTGGGCCAGGCACGGTGCCCCTGGAGGATGTGAGTGCCTGGCCCAGCAGGATGCCTGCAGGGAACCAGACTTTCCTTGAGAGCAGTGCTATGATAAAGATAGACAGGAAGGGTGAGCCAATCTCACAGGGCTCTTCCAGCTATAAAGTCCATCCTTCTGGAGCTAGGGAGGAGGGCCAGATAGGTCAGGTGTATTTGGGGGAGGCCATATGGTTATAGGGATTCATGTGCAGGCCGTGGAGTTGGACAGTCTTGGGCCACCTCTGTAACTTTTTAGCTGTGTGACTTTAGGCCAATGACTTAGCCTCTCTGAGCCTCAGGAGCCTTACCTATAAAATTAGAGTGACAATAGTCCTATCTCATAGATCTGTTGTGAGCATTGAATGAAATGCTGTATGTAAAGCACTCAGCTTAGTGCATGGTAGTAATAAGCAACTAATGAATGGAGGCTTTCCTACCCTGCCTCCTTTTCTCTTGCCTCCTTCTCTTCCTCCCTCCTCCCTTTTTTTCTTCTCCTTCTCCTCCTCTGCCTCCTCCCCTTTCTCCTTCTTCCCAGTTTATTTGCTCTACTTGAGAAGCAATAACCTGCTGCTGCAGGAACCCCTTGCCCAAACCTTCCCATTTTCTATTTGGAGGTTGGCAAAGAAAGAACAGCTCTGCTGAATAAACTGGCCTCTCCCATTGCTGGCCTTTTTAGTAGCTCCCACCCTTGCTGGAAGTTTCTGCTGTTTGCCATGACTGCCCAGCAGCCGAAGGAGCTCAGGCA